TCTTGACATTTTGTACTTTGTTTATTTTCCTTGTTCGTCCTCACCTTGATTCTTGCAGCTCTGTCTACTATCCTAGACTTTAAAAAGATCAACAGTTTATTTAAATTTTTCTATGCTAATCTAGTAAATTTGTTTTTGGCCAGACTGGACTCACTTACAACCAAAGACTACTGAGACTAAATTTAACTAGCATGAGCTATCGTTTCTTATGTAATGACAGAAACTTACAAATGCATTCCCAATCTTTGTTATTGTAGTTGCAAACCTTTTGTTTCCTCATAAAATACCATTCAGTATTTTATCTATCAACACCTGTGTCAGAATGATATCATCTGCACTGCCATTATATTTATTATTGTAATTACAGACCATTAAGTAGTTAATCTGAGTTGTAATAGCATGCGTGTTAATATGGCCACTTCTTAATATTAATATATGATTATATATTTAGTTAGTATTTATTCCTCCATTATAACTCCAACTTAACAACATGCAATCATGCTTATAAACTGAAAAAAATGTTTTGTAAGACAGATGTCTGGAAAAAACTTTTCTAATATGGAATTCACAAATTTGTAGAATAATCTACCATCTGAAATAGTGTTCAACGTCAGTCACGACATTAAAAAAACATCTAGATGTATCTTGGGTTCATCAAATGTACAATTTGAAAATGGTAAATATTTACTTAGTATCTCTAGTTGTTTATCTTCCTTAATGTCATATTTAAATAAGAAAATTTTATCATAGAAACCTTTCCAAACCGCGCAAACTTTAAAATTCACTTTTTTTTTACTAAATAATAATTAAACTCTACTTGCAATAAAAAGCGATTACATTAAACATTAAGAAATGAATCTCAATAATTTTTAGACTAATGTTTTCAGTTGAAAAAAAAATCTCTAAAAAGAAAGTTAATCTGAGGTTTTTTTATATCATAAATTTATTTGTGATTATTTTTTAGCTGATGTACCGTTAAACTGAAGGTGGTAATAAAGTTTACAAAATTTGCTCTGGCTTAATTTTTCAATGAAAAAACAATATGTGTGCCATAAATGTAAACTGTTTTTCATGGAGTATTAATGAAAGTTTGGTGTATTGGCCAAATCACTTGCAAGCATCTTGCCTTTAAACTGCCATACGTAAAGTCACGCTTTTAAAAGTAACTGAAAGCAGCTGAAAATAAGAATTTTTGGGTAATTGTCTTATTTACAATATTGTTTTTGTTTTATTTACAGCATTGTCTTTGTTTTTTATCTAAACAGCTATGTTTGACTCAAATATAGTAAATGTTGATTGTTTAGTATGGTTTCATCTTTTCTTTATAATTTTTCTTTGACAGTTATGAGACTGCTCTAGAACGGAATTATCTGTGCCTTGAGCTTAAAAGGATGCAGGCTACAAAAAAAGTGACACTGATGAGATTGTCTCTCAGTTTCTCAAAGATTGAAAAAATCTTTAGTGTTTTAGGGTTATGTGATACCATCAGAGCTTTGCTTAACTATCTCTTTCAATTTATTGAACTTATTTGCCGGTTATAGAGGAAAAAAGATCTTCTAAACCTCTAAGAAAAAATATGGAACAAAGACACCTTATGAATCAATAGTATATATCAGTGAATTGATATTAGGTAATAGTTTTTGGAAACAGTACCATGTACTATTAAAGTTTTTAATTTTAAAAATGTATGATACATTTATATGTAACATGCAAACAAATGATACAATATGATACGTGATTGACTATAGTTATGTTATATATCAGAATATTTTATATAAATGCTTATTACATTTTATTGTGATTTTTATCTTTTATGCCCAGTTAGTAATGTATTTTGTGTAGCAATGACTACTAATCTCAGATATCTATGACATCTAAAGGGTGTATTCACCGCTACAGAGGTCATAATCTATTTATAACCAATTGCTTTTATTCTTCCATAATGTCATATTTTAATAAGAATCACATTATGGAAAACCCTCTAATACACACACTTGAGGAACCATTATACTTTTAGTACAACCAATTATATTACATTGTTTTCTTATTTTAGATGAACTTTCTTACTTCGTTTAGAGATGAGAAACAGCTTACAGCGACAATCTTAATACAGTTAATGGCCAAAGAAGTATGTTTTTCAGCGTTTGCAAAGTTATAAGTGCATCTATAAAGTTAATTTTAACTCTTATATTTTAAATATCAATGGAAAGAAAAGTATGGAAAACAATTACAGAAGAAACTAAAAATACGATTATTTCAATGAGAAATTGTGAAAAATATTCGATCAAGGAAATATCCAACGCTTGTAATTTAACTCGAAATGCTGTTGGTCGTGTTATAAAAAATAGTGATAATAATATACCCTTCACGTCATCTACAGTAAAAAGAAAAGAAACGTATAAAATAAAAAGTTCTATAAATGCAAACTTTGAACAGACAATATTTAATTCCGTGGTCTGTAACAATGCCGTAGTTCAAAAAGAAATTCAAACGCAAATTTTAGAGCAACATGGTAAAAACGTTTCAATCTCGTTTGTTTCCCGTAAATTAAAGAAATTAAATTTGACACGAAAAAGATTAGCAATCATTCCTCAAGAAAGAAACACCATGGAAAGAACAAATCAGAGATCAATTTTTGCGGCAGAAGTTGCTAGAATTGCTGATTCAAATTTGGTTTTTTTAGACAAAACCGGATTCAATAAACATACAGTGCGCTCATATGGCTATTCTCCAAAGGATACAAAAGCGTACTTGACAGTTCCTGCAAATAAAGGACAAAATGTTAGTCTCGTGTGCTTAATTTCCGATTTAGGAGTTGAATGTTACCAATACAAAAGCGGCGCATACAATACACAATCATTTATTGATTTCATCAACAATAAATTAGTACCATTCTTTGCAGTAAATCCAAATAAAATTCTTATCCTAGATAATGCAATATTTCAAGCAGCTGCAGTACTTCAATTACTAAGAGAAAAAAATATTACTCACTAGTTTTTAGTACCATACTCCCCTGAATTGAACCCAATCAAAGAGTTCTTTTCAATGTTAAAAATCCAATTTCAAATTCACGAAAAATGCTAATTCCGAAGTTATGAAAGTATTTAATCTAGAAAAGTTATTGATATATAACAATATGCTAAGTTAAGTAAAAATGTAAAGAATTTTCACTAACTAATCACTAGAAAAATAACAAAAAAAAAACTATGCTATGCTGTAACTTAATTTAATATTTTGCGCAATATTATTAAAGCTGAAGAAATAATTTCCAAAAAAATGTATATGCACTTATAACTTTGCAAGCGCGCACTTATAACTTTGCAACCGTGCACTTATAACTTTGCAAACATGCACTTATAACTTTGCAAACATGCACTTACAACTTTGCAAAACCCTGTAAATAAATATTTCAATAAAAGATAATTATTTTACAATACTTATACGTGAAAAATTATATTTCAAAATTATATTGTGATGATATTGAAAAAACATTTTTTAGAATTGCGTTTAGTCATTTTTCGTTGTATTCGTTCATTTCGAAATAGCTACAAACAAAAGTATTAAAGAAAAAATTGGCAGCTTTCTGGCGACGGCCATTAATAGAGATTACGAAAGAAAAATAGAACCGTAACTGAGCAATCCCCAATACTGAGCAATGAAATAAGTATCGTCAAAATAATGAAAGTCGATGCCCACTATCTTATAATGAGAGTATAATACAGTAGTTTATATATATATATATATATATATATATATATATATATATATATATATATATATATATATATATATATATATATATACATATTTTTTGTACCTGTATTTAAATAACTTTGATCTTATTTTGTTATATTTTGGTTTTGGAAAACTCTATACATCTTTTTCTCATTTATATCTGTTTCCTTTAACTTCAAATAAATTTAATGATTTCGAATTTTTTTTCTTAAAACGTGTTCTATGATCGTTGTCATCTCCTAGACTATAACCTGTTTAACTCAAAAGAATAATGCAGCCTAGTACTATAGTATCACTTTAACAAGAAAACTGTTATTAATTTTAATTATTACAAATTTATAGAAGGCAATATTTTTTATTATTTTTTAATAATAAAAATTTAATCAAAAATACTTAATATATTGCTTTAATTTAGTCATATATAATTATATATATCAGGATAATATTGTAAACAATATTAGGCCAATATTGGCCAGTATAATATCCCCATTATTGGCGCGATATTTTTTACAATATTGGCGCAATATTATAAACTATATCGGGCCAATATTGCAATGTGAACATTTTGCCAATATTGGCCAATATTGACTTTACAGTATTGGTGCAATATTGTATCGCCAATATTGGCCAATATTGACTTAACAATATTGTAGCACTAATATTGGCCAATATTGGCAAAATGTTCACATTGCAACATTGGCCCGATATAGTTTACAATATTGCGCCAATATTGTAAACAATATCGCCCCAATATTGCGCCAATATTGTTTGCTACTAGGGTAATAATGCTAGTGAATAATTACACTTATAAACAACAAAATTGTTTACTCGTCAATAAAAAAATGACATAAATATTGACAAATATCCAAAATATTGTGAATAATAATAATAATAAAAATAGCAAAAAAATAATATTAAACAAAAACATTAATAAATGTGAAACTAATTTTTAATGTGAAACGAGAATGTGCATAAATATATTTATAATTAAAATAAAAAATGCAACAAAAATACAAAGTCATAAAAAACAAACAAATTTAAACGTTTAAAAACAAAACAACATAATTTAAACATAAAAAAAAAACTTTAACTAAAATTTGTAAAAATTAAAAAAAAAATAATCAAAAATCAAATAAGTAAATAAAAACGTGAAACTAAAAGACAAAAAAAAAAGAATAATAATATTAAATGAGCAAACATGCAATAAAGAAACAAAATAAAAAAAACAAGAATTTAATTCAATTGAGTTTGAATAAAAAAACTTATTTAAAAAAAGTTCAACTGAAAATTTTATTTATACTGATAACAATTTGTGTAATAACTGTTACAAAGTAATAAATAACAAAACGAAGCAATAAATGACAACACAAGTGTTCAAGGTTATAATCTTAATTATTAGAACATATAAACAAAATTAAGTGCAGAACAAGCGTTTAAAACCTGGGCACGAAATATTATAATTGAATTATTTTCATTGATATTTTTTGAAAAATTTAAACAATTGAAATATCATAATTTAATACAAATTGTAATATAACAACTATTAAAAACATAAAAATATATATATAAAAAAAATTGATACAGATATGCAAAAATTACTGCTGTGTTTTGTTAAAAAAAAAAATACAGTTATCGTAAATTTTTAAAAATTTCCAACGCTCAAAATGACCTAAAAGTAGCTGTTACAGAATTCCAGAGAGTGTTCAAAAAACCTAGAGAAAAAAAGGTAGATATTCTTGTACAAACATATTTAGGCACTAAAACAGGAACAAAAACAATTTATTCATATGAAAAAATGATAACAGAAAGCAATAAAAGCTTACCAGAAGACAAACAATAGTTCATTTTCTTTGTAAGGTCATCTCTTTTTAATCGAATCTCGTTTAACAACGAAAACGCTAACATTTTTTTCTCATGAAGTTCTCTATAAGACATGGTTAAAGAAGAACGGATGCCCATATTTGCATTGCAATGAATAATGTTGGCTAAACGTGTTTTCAAACCAATGGTAAAGTTTGCGTAATTTTCAACAAAAGTAATGTCGCTAGTAATTGCCGTCAAACTATTTTTAAGTTTGTTAATAAAACAGACTAAAAAGAAATAAACAACTACTGTATTATTTAACAAACAAATAAATAGCCTTGTTAAATAATAATAATAATAATAATAATAATAATAATAATAATAATAATAATAATAATAATAATAATAATATAATAATAATAATAATAATACATTATAAACAATAATATTTTAAATATTCATAATATTAAAAAATTATAGATTTTTTAAAGCTCAAAACTAAGTTTAACAAGTTTAGTTAATATATATATATATATATATATATATATATATATATATATATATATATATATATATATATATATATATATATATATATATATATATATATATATATATTATAACTTTAATTATACTTGAGTAATTTAATTACTTGAGTGGAAACGGAATTCAACTGGACGTCAATAAACACAAACATTATCTGGGAGTACGTCTATCAGATGATCTTAAAGTAATCTTAAAGCTATCTTAAAGTAAGTTGAATCAGCAGCAGCAAGAGCCAACAGCAAACTAGGTTGACTAAAGAAAATACTCTAAGTATTATACTAAAGAAAATACTCTAAGTATTTTCTTTAGTCGTGGACTCTTTTTGCGGAAAGTACTCAACAAAACCTGTTTATGACCCCAGTTAGAATTTGCTATCCAGGCTTGGTCACCACACAACGGGGCTTGGTCACCACACAACGGGGCTTGGTCACCACACAACGGGGCTTGGTCACCACACAACGGGGCTTGGTCACCACACAACGGGGCTTGGTCACCACACAACGGGGCTTGGTCACCACACAACGGGGCTTGGTCACCACACAACGGGGCTTGGTCACCACACAAGGAAAAAGACGTTGCTATTCTAGAGCAAGTAAAGCCACTAAAAAAATCTTGACACTTGACATATGAAGAAAGACTCCGTCATCTAGACTTAACTACACTTAAAGAAAGGGGTGATCTGATTCAACAGCTTAAACTTTCAAAAGGTATTGATCAAATCAATTTTCAAGTTTACAAGTCTCAAGTCTGCGCAACATCGATTTTCAAATACAATTTGTGTGGATATTATCTTCGGCTTAAACGTCAAACGGTAAAAAACTGCAAAGAAAGATTCAATTTCTTCACTAATCACATCGTCAATATATGAAATAGGTTACCTTTACCATAAGTTTTTACCACTAGTGCTGAATCAGTCTACTCGCTCAAAGATAGTATTTACAAATTGAAATTCGATATAGCTTAATGATCGGACACGTGAGTGTCTTTTCTTTCAGCATGGAAGTGCTGGTGTAACACTTTCTCATCAAAATATAAAAATGTAATACATGCATATACAATTGATTTCTGAAATACATAAACTCAAACTCAAACTCATATTTATAATAAACACAGTTTATCAATAAAGAAAATCCAAACCTTCATCAATGGGGTAAGCAGTCCATTTATTGAATATATCAACAACAGCTTGTTTATTTTTATTAACCTCAACATTGTTTTGATTTGAATATTCTTGAAGTTCTGCGTCATTCAAAAAACGAGTTACGTTTTCACACCAACAACTTTTTACCAAACTAGTAACTTAAAAAAAATTTAAAAAATATTAAAATAACCCAAACCACCAAATTCAAACATTATTCAATGCTCATACCATTTGAACACAATTCTGTATTGCATATCCTTGTTCTATTATATCCAACTGGATATGGGTTACAGTTGCTACCTAACAAGCAGCTTCGCACTTGTTGAACTACACCACTGCCACATGGGACACTGCAGTTACCAATATTTTGCCACTCACTCCAATAACCATCAACTGAAACAAAATGTTATTGAAATGAAATACTAATTATTTTAAAATACATTTAGACAAAATATAAGTTCAAAATTTTTTTTTTTTTTTTAAATAATTAAAAAAATCCTTGATGAAAATTTCTATACATTAAAAAACTAAAAAATTTTCTTACACTCGCACTGTGGCCCGCTGTACATCTTGTCACAAACACATGTGTAACCACCATTATTATTTTGACAAGTAGAATGTTTAGGACAAGTTGCTGTACCAAGTGCACATTCATCAATGTCTAATAGAATTGGATGCAACATTTTTAAGTATAAAAAATTTTTTCTCTCTCTTTATATATATATATATATATATATATATATATATATATATATATATATATATATATATATATATATATATATATATATATATATATATATATATATATATATATATATATATATATATATATATATATATATATATATATATATATATATATATATATATACATATATATATATATATATATATATATATATATATATATATATATATATATATATATATATATATATATATATATATATATATATATATATATATATATATATATTAGGTACGCGGATATCGTGATTTACGGAATCGATTTTTATGCTAAAATTTTGGTTCTCGTTTTTTTAACTCTTTTTTTTAGGCAGCGTGAGGCAGACGTAGTTTTGTGGAGTTTCTTTTTAGAAACAGATATACACATAGATACTTTTTGGAAAGAAGAAAAGCTAATCTTGCTTTATTTAATAAATTTATGTATTGTTATTACACTTTTTTGTCGATTATTTTGCTTCTAAATATTGGGTTGATGTCCTCACATGAACTTGTAGTAGAAGAAATGTTGATCCGGTTTGTTTTTTATTCAGACAATTTTTTACATGCATTTTCTATGCACATGCCAAATTTCAACAAAAAATAATTGGTAGCAGATAGTTTAAAATGTGTTATATTACGTACACCACTTAATACTTTTGGTACATAATTTTGGTTTTTCTGTTTTGTTTTTTTTTAAGCTTAATACGGGGGTGGATAGGGGGGTCGACTATACAAAAAAAAAAAAAAAACAAATCCTAATATCGTATTTTTTTGATTTTTGTTATTAGATTAAAATAAAAAATGAATTCTGACAGAAGTTTTATTGAATTTTTAACAGATAGTAAGTTTAATTTTTTTTATAATGATATCAATAATAACTATTTAAAATCATAAAATATTCATAAATCATTTATGAATATTTTCTGATTTAAAAATCTTTTTTATGTAACATATAATTTATCTGTTTTTATATGATATAAAAACAGATTAATTCCTAATCTGTTTTTATGTTACATAAAAAAGAAGATTAATGCTTCAATTTAAAACTTTGCTTTTGAATGTATTGTTAACTAATAGTATCTGTTGTCATTTTTATTATGACACAACATACAAATTAGATAATTCATTGGTTTATTCCTCGCAAAAGACTTGTTAGTAATTTTCAAATATAATAAAAGTTATCATCTTATTATCATCTTTTATTATTTTTGGATTGGATTTTTTAGCTCTAGTTCCATCCTCAATTCCGTTGAGTGGTAAGCTTAAAAATATTTTTATTGCATCCTTCAAAAAACCTGTTCATGTATGTATTTATTTCGGATCAACTGCAATATTTATTTATTACACTTTTTTTTAACTTTCCGTCTACATCTGCAAGAATTGGTATGTTTACAAACTTTCACTTTTCAATATGTTTATGCATTTGGCAATCACAATATTTATTTTTATTTCAACTTTGTTAACTTTTAGTTACATCTTCAGCTGCTACAAGTAAAAAGTTTATAAACTATCATTTTCTTATATGTGTATGCATAATATACATGTGTAAAAGTATTGTTTCTAATATATGTATGCATATCTTATCGATAGCAAGTAAATTGCAATTTTATTTTAAAAAAATTTTACCTTTAATCCCACAACCTCCACAACAACTACAGATATAGGGTCCAGCACTCTGGACCGATTAGCAATTGGTCATTTTTGCGGTGGGTCTGGTTAGGAGGGAATGATGGTGAATCATTCAGCTGGGCCTATCATCCTCCTAACAGGGGTGCTGGGAGCTACAGCAGATAAGAAAGCGGTGGAAGCCTTGTCGTGAATGGTGACGACCTTGTCATGAAGGGTACCATCCACTATTACTAGACGCCACCATTCCTGTTTTTTTTTTTTTAATTAAATACATAACACTATCAAGTTTGTTTTCCATTTTTGTCCCAATTTTTACAATTATTAACATTTGATTTATTAATTTTAAATCTTTTACAAAATGATTTAAAAACGAAGCATTGACAGGTGTAATAGTTTGCAAGAGATCTATTTTGTATGTTTTCAATGTGATTAAAAGTTGTAGTGTAGAAAGTATTAAAGTTATAACTATAAATAATTATAGACTTTTTAATACGTTTAGGATTTTTTGAAGTTTTGAGATTTTGAGGTTTTCTCATAGCCCAAATTTATATGTAATGTTTTATTGAGTTGATAAATGTTAAATATCTTTTGCATACCTAATTACTATTCTTTATTTTGTTTTAGTTTATATACTGTTTTTTTGAGTTAAGGAATATTATTTGATTTTAGACCAGTTTCATTGTTTGATTTTAAACCAGTTTAACTTATGTTTACAGTTCCTAAATATTATGTTCCATTTCCTAAATATTATATTTACGTAACCATTACTTGTTTGTAGAAGGTATGTATGATATTTTTTTTTACATGTTGTATCATAATGTTATTAATAATTAACAAATTTTTATATATTGTTTGTTTACTTTTCAAAAAATTTAATTAAAACTATGGTATATTTACTCTTTGTGTGTGTATATATATATATATATATATATATATATATATATATATATATATATATATATATATATATATATATTTTTAAGAATTATTGGTTCAAAAAAAAGTGAAGTTATGTTTGCCGATGAAGTGAAAAAAGATTGATCTTACATATGGTGCCTATAGACGGCTCTGGCTTACCTTCACGTGGTGTCTATTGTTAAAAATGATTTATTTAGTTTTGTTATTGGAATTTTAAATAATATCATTTACTAAAAGCCAAGACATAAATTTATATATTTTGTATTGTAAACTTTTTAAAATATAAGTTTTAAAATTTTGGTTAATTTTTAGGATGGATACCTGCATCTTGTAATGTGGTAATCTTTTTACACAATTTAAAGACATTTTTGAAAAATTTTTAATTAACATTATTTTAAAGTTTAAATAAGAGGAGGGGGAGGGGTGTTGGGTGTGGCACACACCCCTCCCCTTACTAACATGGTAAAATCATCTTGAATACTAATTTCTCTTTTTAAATAAACTCAGTTTAAAACCATTTTTCAAATATCTTTTAACATTTTTTTTTAGGTTAAAGAAGACTGAGAGGAAGGGGGGAGGGGCGTTAAGGGTGGCATCGTCTTGCCCCTAATTTCAATTTATGCACCACTTGTATATGCTGTTATGCAAAATATAATTTAAAATTTTTAACACAAAATATAATGTGTTAAAAAGTTGTTTTTTAGGTTCAAGTATTTATAATTTTATCAGAAAAATACTCTTTCGTGTGAAAAACTTGTATTTTTTTAAGGTTATGATGGTGTTCCCATACCCCCTCTGGCCATCTAGACACCCCTTTTATCTATAAAACTATATGAACTTGTAGCCTACTATTACATCTATCTTTTGATAAGGTATAGGCATTTGGATAAGATTTGACAAAGTTATAACAATTTCAGTGAAAAAAAAAATAACAATTTTGGAACCAGTTTCTTCAAGAAACCCGTATATTGGAAATTTGCTACTAAAAACGTCATAATTTTTTTTTAAATTGTTCGTTTTTAATAATTTTTTCACCATTAAAATACTCTATTGAAGGGCTTTCTAATGATGTATAACATTTTAATATATGCTCAATTAAAAAAAATCAGTACACATACCTATATATATATATATATTATTGACATCTTAATAGTATGATAAAATTTATATATAAAATTGAAAATACATGTACGGTGACATACTATTTACTTAACTATTTAATTTTTTAATTTTAAATGTGATATTTTGTGATATTTTGTTAGTATTATTTCAATATTGCGTATAAAAATAATTCTTTTAGTTAACCGCCAAGTGAATTAAATTTCAGTTTTATTACCTTTATACAAACAGTTGAAAAAAATAAAATTTCGCTTCTTGTTTAGAGTAATTAAAGTTGCTTTTTGTTTAGAGTGGTAAATAAAAAAAATCTTTTTTAACTGGAGATTTAAGTAATAATAAATAAATAATATTTAATTAGAAGGGTCAATAGACGTACCAATACTACTTTGTTAAACGATAAATAACGTTTTTAAATTTTTATTTTTTTTGTTATAAAAACAAAATATTAATTTCTTTACTTATAACAATTTTTGGACGTACCCAAAATAGTACACCCTAAGTAAAATCTTAGTCAAAATCTATTGTTTAGCGATAATCAGGAGGTGAAATATATTTTAATAGTTATTACATATCAAAATAAAACAATGGACGTACCTAACAGTATTTTTTTCTGTAATTGAGCTTTTTATTTAGTTTAGTTTTCAATATTTAAATTTTAAGTAATCGATTTTATTTATAAAAAAACACTGTCGGACGTACCTTACAACTTTCACCCTGAAATATTTAAAGTTTATTGTGATATTTAAAATGTCTCGACTCTTGCAAATATACGTAGTTTTCTTAAAAGATCAAGTGTTTGCAACATTTCCATGTTTATGCTGATGATAAAATTTTATAAAGTCAGTTTAGATATCAACAAAAAAAAAAACGCTTCTTACATATCTAAGACACCATATTATCTGGTAATGTTTCAGAGAAGTTAATAACAAAATAGTTTAAAAATTTTAAACATTCGGATGAAGCTTCAGACAATTAAAGTAGAGAACAACTACTTTTAATTATATGGTTTGTTGGTTCAAAGTTCAATAAGAGAATTTATCAGTTTCTTAGATTGCACAAATAGTGTTACTAGTAGGGATTATTTTATTTTTTGGTAAAAAATATTTCGGATTCCTTTTTATATATCATAAATTGTGATATGGTGGTGCTAGAGCAATTTACGGTCACACTAAAGATTTTAAATCTAAAGGAAAAAGCTGCATATGCTCATTGCAACAATCATAGACTTAATTTAGTTATTTGTGCCTCATACAAATTGCAACATGT